GATTCCTCTTTTTCTTTTTAAAGAATGATTTGATTTCAAAAATTTCAAAGCCATGGAACCGTTAAAGGACAATGATGAACACTGAATACCTCTTACCTAGATTTATCAACTATTAAAATTTTGCCACAGTTTTCCTGCCACTGTCGCTCCTTCTCCCTTCTACCCCATACCTCCCTTTTGCCAAACATCCAAAAGAGTAGGCTGCAGTCATCATAAATTTAACCCCTAAATACTTTGACATGTGTCTCTAGAAACAAGGACATTTTTACACAATCATGATACCTGAACCCCACCTAAGAAAATCAACATTAATTTAATAGCATTATACGTACAGAGTCAGATATTTTCAGCAAGAACATCATGTGGGTGACACTGTGTATATCTCTCACTTGATGTCAGATGATACAAATGGTACATACATAAGGGATTTGCTATTGAATGTTCTCCTCCTGAAGAGATGATAGCATATTAGAAACTTAGTGACTCTTGATAAAGATGTCTACTGTACTGTAAAGAGGCTGTTCAATAAAAGCTAATATTTTTAAGGCCTACCCCCCTCATACCCTTTTACCTGTATTCCCACAGCTAAATCTGGATTGGTTAGTTGGCTTTTTGCAGACCAGTAGTTGTGAAGCATCCAAGCTAACTTGTTAGCTATTGTTTTCTTTCTTAATATAGCTATTTGGGGGTCAGTCTGACCTTAGAGACCCTCACTGTCACATACTAACAGAAACTCATCCTTTGTAAGTCAATTCATGTGTTTGTAAGATGCCTGATGATTAACCTCTGCTCTTTAGCCAAGGACATAAACTGCCTGCTTAAAAGGAATTTTTTGTTTCTGAAATTGCTCTAAAAATGCAGCTTTTCTTTTGACTTTTTTTGAGGTGAAATTCACATAACATAAAATTAACCATTTTAAAGTGAACAATTTAGTGTCTTCACTAAAGCATTCATTGTCTTCACAATGATGTGTAAGCACCACCTCTATCTAGTTTGAAACATTTTCACTACAGATTTTCACTACTCCAAATGTTTTCACTACTGCCTCTTATTTATCCGTTTTTTGAGATGTAGTATGGTTCTGTCGCCCAGTCTGGAGTGTAGCAGTGTGATATTGGCTCACTGCAGCCTCCACCTCCCAGCTTCAAGGGATTCTTTTGCCTCAGCCTCCGAGTAGCTGGGATTACAGGCACATGCCACCATGCCTGGCTAATTTTTGTATTTTTTAGTAGAGACAGGGTTTTACCATGTTGGCCAGGCTGGTCTCAAACTGCTGACCTCAGGTGATCTGCCCACCTCGGCCTCCTAAAGTGCTGGGATTACAGGTGTGAGCCACTGTGCCCAGCCTAGCCCTGCCCTATACTTTTTAATGTGATTTTTTCCCCTCTATTTTAAGATATTTTTAAAATAGAGACATACAGAGAATAATAAACTATTTATATTTCTACTACCCAGAATTGATCAACATTTGTCATTTTCACTTGAAAAAAATGTTTATTGTATTTTGAAAATGGTATTCAAAAAACTACATTCCAAATGAAGCTGAAGTACACTTTTGCACCCCATCTGCAGTCCCATTCCCTTTTTCTCCCAGTCTTTAGGCAACATTTCCAGTGAATTTGGTCTATATTCTTTTAGTCTATTTATTATACCTAGGTTTATGAAAAATATGTAGTACTGTTTTGTAAATTTACTTATATAGTATATTGCATATATGCAGCTTGCTTTCTTGCTTTGTACTAGGCATTTTTACTGATTTATCTTTGTTTGATATATGGAAGTAGTCTATTTTTGACTGCTGTGTACTATTCCATCACATCAAACAACTTGTTTTTTTTTTTTTTTTTTTTTTGAGACAGGGTCTCATGGTCACCCAGGCTGGAGTGCAGTGGCGTGATCATGGCTCACTGCAGCCTCAACCTCAGTGGCTCAAGCAGTTCCCACGACAGACTCCCCAGTAGCTGGGACTACCAGCATGTGCCACCACACCCAGCTAGTTAAAAAATTTTTTTTGTAGACATAAGGTCTTGCTCTGTTGCTCAGGCTGGTCTCAAATTCCTGAGCTCAGGTGATCCTCCTGCCTCAGCCTCCCCAAGTGCTGGGATTACAGGCATGAGCCACTGCTCCTTGCCATGAATCAACCATATGTAAATTAAACATTTCCCCTAGTGATAAATTGCTAAGTCATTACTTTTTTCCATTACAACCATGCCATACTGAAGATCCTCATACATGTCTAATGGTGTGACCATGCCTTCAGGGCATATACCTATAAGTGAATTGGAGTTAATACACATTTTCATATTGCTAGGTATTGACAGTGGCTGTACCAAGTTAATGCTCCCACATTAGTGGAGTAGTTTGTGAGAATTTCTGATCCCACATCTTGCCAACATTTGCTGCTAGATTTCTTAGTTGTTGCCATTCTGACCGGGAATAATAGTACCTTGTTTTCCTGAGGTTTACCATTTTTTCATAGTTTACTGGTTATTCAGGTGTTTTTATCTGTGACTTCTTATTCATGTTCTCTCCTGTTTCTCTTTGGTTTTTAAAGAAACATCTAGTAGCCCTTATATACATGAATAGTAGCCTGTATTTAATGCCTTAGATGGTACTTAACAAACCTGGCCTGCGTTTCCCTTGAGCTTACTATTTTAGTCAACATACCTATACTCTAGCACTAATCAATCAAAAACATTTTAGTTTAACCTGTTGTTTTCTCTGTATTTTAATTCATGCTGTTTTAAGATAAATCTGATTTTCTTGGGCTGAAATTATCATGAAACTGACTCCAACATGCATTGGTTTGTTTTCTAAATATTTATTATTGAAATACAGCATTAAATGACCTCCTTATTGATAGCAGGAATCCTGCTAAGAGAAATATGTTGACATTTGGACACCAGGAAATCTGAATTTTAGATGATACTCTAGCAGCTAGGATAGAACTCTGACTCAGTGAGCACTGTTACTTTAATTATCTGAATAGAAAGCTTGAGATTTAAAAATAATTTTCTCTCCATTATTTAGGTTGGTCACAGCAGATGTAGCTTTTTACACTGGAAATCTTCAAGCCTTAAAAGGCCTTAAAGATTTGGACCTAAATATGGCCGAAATTTGGGAACAGAAGAGGTGATACCATACTGGAAAACTGGGTAGTTCATCTGACCATGGGATGTGTTTGTTATGAAGAAAATCTGGATGCCTGTGATTCGAGAATTGAACCTGAAACTCAAAGTGAACTGGGGTGGGGGAAGGGAAAAAGGAAAGTATCAGCGTTGGGAAAGTGGATTCAGTGGGATCTATAAGGAATGTCATTCTTGTGCATCCTACAGTGAGGAGTGACTGATCAGGTGTCTATGACATTTTTCATTCTCTCTGGAAACAGACTCAGGTTTCTTTGGACCAAATCCAAAAGAACACATAGCTGTAACACAGCTGTAGTTGACTAGAATGCTCTGTCTACTTTATATTAAAAAATGCTCTGCATTTCTTCCAGTGCAATGAAATTCATATGGTGTCCCACCTTATTTAATGATGGTACAATTTAAAATCTTAGTCAACCTCTGTAGAAAGTTTTCTCTATGAAAGTAAAGCTGTTTGAAAAATTATTTTTTTACAGATCTTTCTATAAAAAATAAACATCTTTTGATTGCTTGGATTTAGGAACTCAATTTTTGTTTTAGTGACCAATGTCAAGTTTCAGGCTTTGTGTGTTGCATATGAATATTTCTACTACCACCGTATGTCAACTGGGTAAAGCCTTCCAGAGCTGTCTAAATACCTGAAAGACTGATTACAAGTAATATTTAAAAGAATAAGATGCTAGCATCTATTTATGCAACTAAATACTTTTCAGAAATGGTATATAAAAGACTACAGTTTAATATCTGTATTTTTATAAAAGTATCTATGAATGGTTGGGGTGTTTTTTTTTTTCTTTTTATTTCTAGCAGAGATAAGAATATGTATTCATATAATCTGCCTACTTTTGAGTTCTCATTTTAACATTTAGATAACATATGAAGTATGGCCCCCTCTTGAATCCTTGTTTTTAGGTTACTTTGGATGTGTATACAAACGAAGACCAGGGAGAAACACAACTTTTAAAATATAGCCTGCTGTGTTGGGGCCAGAAATAAGGTGACAAGACTTTTACAATACCTACCTTCAAAATTAGAATCAGCAGCACTCTACAAATGAAAGTGCCTGTGCCTCACCTCACACCAAGAATCTTGCCTAACTCTGTCAGAGTGCCTAATATCCTGTGGTGATTATGTACAATGAAACAGTCTTATATTTTGTGCTCTTCAGTTTCTTAAAAGGAAAGCTTGTTTTCTTTCCTTTATCATTTCAGAGGTATGTCATTGGTTCTTAAACTATCTGTCTAAAATAAAGCTGTAAAAAATTACCAGACTTTAAAAGGTAACTTTTTAAAAAAATGGTATATAGTGAACTTTTAAGTTAAAAAAGCAGCCTACTCAAAACAAGTATGGATGAATTTAAAGAAAAGGTATAAATTGAACTACCAGCAGACCTGATTGGAAAGATTATTAATGATCATTTTTCAGTGATAATAAGCTTCAAGAAATGAAGCTTCAGGGAAAGGGATCTTTTTTTTGAAGCTATACCCCCTACCTCACTCTAGAAGAGTACAAGGATGTGAAAGAAATGCCTTCCCTTTGCCTACCACCGTCAGCTGGGAAAATAAATGCCACTTTGTTCAATAAATGGAGAGTCTGTGGAAAGCATGGCAGGCATCCCAGCTTTAGAACTAGATGAAAGGTACTAAATAACTTCAGTTTAATTACTATGGAAAGAATGGTATGATTAAGAGTCTTAGAAATGCCAAAAATGACTCTCTAGGTAACTAGCCAGTGACTACTTAAATATTCCAAGAGCAAATCTTCCAACTTATATAGCAGTTGTTGTTTAGCAAGAATAAACCATTTTATTTCACCATTTCATAGTTAACATTATAAAGTACAAGTGTACACAAGTATTGCTCCACTGCTTTATTTTTGAAATCACAAGCATCAAAGTGACCATCATTGAAGCTTCTGTTAAAAGATCTTCAAGAGTTGCCCCAGTTTTAAGATTAAACAATATTGCACTTGAAGATGAACTAACTTTTGGGATCCTCTTCAAAGAAGGAAAGTATTACTCCATCTGTGCTTTTCTTAGACTAAAAAGCATACTGCAGAAAACTCTACTTTAAAAATCAACACTGCAGGGTACAGTAACATAGCAAAGTACCTGCCTATTTTAGAATCCTAGAGAACATTTCATTGTAAGAAACTAGCCCATTACTAAAGTGTCCACAGTATTTTTCATTTCAGTGGTCCAAGATGCGAAGGTTTCCAGATACAATCTTGTTCTCTAATACTGCTCCAGGTGGGATGTCAATTCTGTCACCATGATTTGCAATAATGATAACAGTTCCCTAAGTGACAGGGAAAACAAAACATAAGAGTGTACTTGCAACTGAAATGCAATTTGATAATCTTACAGTGATCAAGTTTATGTAGAACTCTTTGTACAGTGGAGTAACTGTATTTATAAACAATATTAAACATGAAAAACAACAGTTAAGGAACATTGTAACGTGTCCTTCTGTAACAATCCTGGTAGTAGTTCTAGGTTCTCTGTCTCCTTGTCAGAGGTGGTACTCAGAGTGGGAAGTGGACCCGGTACCATAGCATGAGCAGCCCCCTTTGAAGGCCTACTTGCAAGGCCACCAGCATTAGCCAACTTTCATAAAGAAATTAAAAGGTGCCTGGTTTATATTTACACATAGGGCTTTTGCTGTTGTTTTGTTGTTTTTATAACAGTTTACTGATAAGATTTTTCATGTCTTAAATCTTTAGGCAGTCTGTCTCAACAATAAAATTCAATATATGTATTTGTTTTTTCAGGATCTTCATTTAAGTAAGCAGCTTTAATGGGAAGAGTACATGAAATCTAGGAGATTTTTTTTTTTAATTATATGATTTGGAAAAAGCTATTGTATCTTTAGTTGTGAGCTCTAATACTTATGTACCCCCATTTGCCTCCTATTTCTTAGATGAGGCTGGAGTGATACTCAGTACCCAAGTACTACAGTAATGTAAATGAATATTCTTATAGTGATAACATTCCTTTAATAGAGTATATTCAGTACAAATGAGGTTTTTTTTTTCTACTTTTATTCAAATAATCATCTTTAAGAAGCTAAAGCTAATAGTGATCCTATTTTAGAGATTCTCATTTCATTTAATAGTGCCAGCTTAATTACTACTGTAATTTAGACTAACCAAGTATTCCTTAAAGTAAATGTAAAAATGACTAGAAAATGAGACTTATTTTGTAAAGCTGTAAGAAATACAATTTTCATTGTAACAACATACCTTTAATGAAACATTCTTTCCAAATGTCACATCTCCTGAAACTGTGAGGTGATCCAATTCAAGCATATCTGGTATACTTTCAAATCTTCTTAGATAATCTTGAACCTTACAGAAAAGTAGAAACATAAAAATGTCTGAAATGAGTTCACAGAAAGACAGGAAAAACATTAACAAGAAAGTTTAACTGAAGTGTAAAAACATTTTATGGCCAAGCTCAGGTCCTCTATGGGAAGCACCTATTTATTAAGCACTCATATGCTAGACGCTGTGCCGGAGAGAAAGGAGCTACGAACATCGTTTCTATACCAAGCAATGTACAATATAGTTGAGCAGATCACGCTTAAAAAAACAAAAAAAAGATAACCAACATGCCAAGAGCCAGATGAGTAGTTTACACAATTTGAATTTAACTGAAAAAAGAAATCGTGCATTGGTGGGATTCTGAAAAATTAGAGCACATTTTAGGAAGAGCAACAGTACAAACTATTATAAATTATCACTATCTTTGTATTTTTGTTTCCTTAGATTTGCAAGCATTAGAGATTGTCCTCTGTAACCCCATTACCTGTTTTGCTGGGAAAGCAGGAGCAATCAGAAAACTTCCACTGGTTTCCATTCACCACCACCACCTTGCCCCCATTGCCCATTCCCCTGCCTTCCTAGTACAGGTATTGATCGACTTACCACCTATGCAACTTACGACCATTCGACTTTACAACCACAATCGCTAGCCACGACTGCTCCGCGTCTGGCAGCGCAAACGTTGCCCAGCTGGGTGTACGACAGTGCGGACCAGCTTCCGGCAGCACTACCATCTCCGCGTGCACCATTTCAACTGTACATATAGCCTACTCAACTTACGACCAAATCGTGTTACGACCGGTCCGCGGTCCCGACCGTGGTTGTAAGTCGAGCACCAGCTGTCCTGGAATTGTGCATCAGATCCCTTCTTAAGGCCCATCAAGTGTTGTTTCAGCAATTCTCCCTCTTCAGTGCTTTTTCCCTCCTGACTGCATTAATTTCCATTAATGTATAAACATCCTCCCATTAAAAAAAAAAAAAAAAAAACCCTCAAATCCTATATTGCTTTTCACCTATAGCCCCATTTATCTGTTTTTCTTTAAGGCAAAACTCTTGAGTGAGATTTCTGCATTCATATCTCCAATTCCTCCTTTTTCATTCTCTTAAATTCTGCCTGTGAGGCTCCCTAACCTCCAAACTGATAAATCGAATAGTAAATTCTCATCTTACTTGAATCAGCAGCAGCAGCATTTGACAAATAATTCCTACTTTCTTATTTTCTTCATTTGACTTTGAGGATACATGTATTCATAGTTTTCTACCTAATTCCTCATCTGCATTCTACACATCCACAGCAGGTGGCACCAAACCACACCCAGGACTAAAATAGAGTTGGATGGCAGAGCAGGACCCCACAGGCCAACCACAAAGGCTCAGTGTCACATTTCAGTAATCATGTGATTAAATTTTTTGGATTTCACTTAGGCTAAGGTGGAGTTTTACAGCAGGTCCACCGACAGTGCTGTTTTGTTCATATTATTTTGTTATAATGTTAATGACGGGGGAAAAAAGATTGCCAGCCAGGCTACTGTCTGTGTGGAGTTTGCACGTTCTCCCCACATCTGTGTGGGTTTTCTCCAGCTATTCTGGTTTCTTCCACATCCCAAAGATGTGCATGTTAGGTGAACTGGCATGTCTACATGGTCCCAGTATGAGTGTGGATGTGTGTGAGTGTGCCCTGAGATGGGATGGTGGCCTGTCTGGAGTTGCCTCCAGCCTTGTGCCCTGAGCTGCCGGGATAAGCTCTGGTCAACCCATGACCCTGAACTGGAATAAGCAAGTCAAGAATTATCTTGTTCTTATTAATGTATGCACAGCTCACATTTATTTCAATGTTTAATATTAGAAGTGTTTTGGTTTTTATTTTAAAATTTGGTAATATTTTTGTGACCAGAAATAAACTGTAGGAACTGAACTCCTGTTTATATCAATTAGCCTATGGTAAAATGTGTTATACATTGTTTGGCTTAATGTGGCCATTTCCAAGAACATACTGATGACAGTGAGGACTTACTGTACTTGCTATTCCACCTGCCTAGAACACTTTTTGCAGTAGATACCCATTTGTCAGACCCAATCAACTCCTCAATGAGGCTGCCTGTAGCCACTCAATGTAAAATCACACAATCCCCTCCCCACCTGAGGCATTCCCTATTCTCCATCCATGCTTTATGTTTCTCCATAGCATTTTCCACCACTTGGCATACCATACATTTACTTATCATCCTTTCCCCACTAGAATGTCAATTCCATGAAGACAAAGATGAGTCTGTTTTGTTTGCTGCTAAATCCCTAGCACCTAGAACATACTGCCCAGCACATGGTAGGGGCTCAATAAGTATTTAAGACAGAATTAACCTTTTCCCACTGATCAAAGCAGTATCAGTCTTGGAAGAGACATATAATAAAATGCCCTGAAATTTAAAGATTATTTTCTACTCCCCATGGCAATCATGTTTCCAATGTGAGGCAAATATTTATCTTCTATGGTAAATTCCCTTTAAAAGGTATCAAAGACAGAGGAATACAATAGTTCAGCAGTAGAGACTGTAATTAGTCTCCAATTCACATGTATATCATATCTTTATAATTACACATTTAAGAAATATGAACTCACATATCTTTATAGTTACATACCTTTGTAAAAGAACTGCCTAATTTAACCAAGGGCACTGTAGGAAATTCCCGCTTTTCACTCATTGTCAGAGATCCTGCATTAAGGCTATAGAGGTTTGACATCACCAGCAAGAGATCTGATGTGGTTTTGACAGGCAGAAAACGGCTCCTTGGCACATTAATACCTAGAGAATTCTCAAAACTTTTGATGGCAGCCCCTACTGCAGTTTCTAACTGAATGACATTCAGGCCTCCATCCAAAGTCTGTAAGAAATTAGGGATGGGGGAGTAAACAACAGAGGTTTTAATCACCTACAAATTAGTTCCTTGTAGGTTAATACTTGGGAAGTGATTTCAGAGATTCATTGATGGGAAAAAATTTTTCTTTTTTGAGATGGAGTCTTGCTCTATCACCCAGGCTGGAGTGCAGTGGCACGATCTCGGCTCACTGTAGCCTCTGCCTCCTGGGTTCAAGCAGTTCTTATGTCTCAGCTTCCCAAGTAGCTGGGATTACTGGCATGTACCACCATGCCCAGCTAATTTTTTGTAATTTTAGTAGAGATGGGGTTTCACTATGTTGGCCAGGCTGTTCTTAAACTCCTGGCCTCAAGTGATCTGCTGGTCTTGGCCTCCCAAAGTGCTGGGATTACAGGTATGAGCCACTGCACCTGGCCAGAAAAAGAATTCTGAGAACTGACATTTATCAAACATCTATCATATGTCAAATTCTTATAGTCTTAAAACTCTTCTGTTCAGTAATATCATTTCCATTTTATGAGAAACAACCATAGGTTCAGAAAACTCATGCAAAGTACTGATGGCCAAATGACTTATGAGTGTCAGAGCAACAACTAAAAAGTAGGTTCTCTATTTTTGAAGCCCAGTGTTTTTGCCACTACCATAATGCAGGGTCAAATAAGGGGCACCATAACTTGGCACACTAGAGGAGTGACAGCAGATTCTGGAAGACGGGGCTAGGAACTAGAGTCTGAAAAGGCAAAAGGGAGTGACCAATGGAACAGATGGGGCAGAGGGAGTGGGCGGTGGGGTCTATGTGTAGCCTACTTTAACCTTAGGAGCCAGGAAGCTTAATGGGCAACAACCTTGGCTTACCTTTGCATTCACAATAATTTCCATGTCAATGGCATTCTGCTCCTGCAGTCTTTTAACTGCTGCAAGAGAAATCCATAGGTTGTTTGTGTTAAATATTTTGAACTTTGATACAGACTTGAACTCATCAACATGTGCTTTTGGCACTTGAGCAATTTCCACCAGTCTCAGTTTGCCTTCATATTGAGTGAGTGTCCCGCCCTAGAAAGGCAGAAAATAGTAAGTGCCTCCACATCTGTCCCAAGTGCATTTTTTTGTAAGTACAATGACAGTGATAATATAAAAAATATATAAATACATTATGTAGAAAGAGTAAATTTTCATAAAAGGGACAATGAAATAACATTTAAATGCCCAACTAGAAGAATATTAAAGGTTTGGACAACTTTATTCAAAGGTTTCATGTTTCAGATTTTTGCCATAAATATATATGAAATTATTTTAGTTAAAATTACTGATGAAGCTTATCCAAAAAAATAAAGATTTTGATATTATTTATTCTGGATTTATGATATATACTATTATGTCAAACAGAACTGAAAGTATTCCCCATAATGTTGTCTCACCCTTTCTTATGACAACAAGTGGTTAAATGTGTTGAAATAGAAACTTTCAAATAAAAAAGGTTTTAACTTTGTAACTTATGAAATGTGAAAACATGAAGCCCTAAACTGCTTCCTCTCAGTATTTACCTTTACATCTGCACGTGTTTTATTTGTGACTTCCATGACAAATTCACAGCGTTTTCCATTGGGTGGGTTCATTAGATGATTAAGAATATACAGATCCACTGTGGCACCCAGATTATCTATGTTAGACACAAAAATATACTCTTTGCCTTCTCCTATAAAGGTATCAAGCAAACCAGAGTTGTAGAAACTGGCGTAAATATCACCATGACCTGGAGGGTACCAAGCTTCTGTATTTTCCCCTGAGTAAGACACGTCCTTTGCTACAGGAAGTAAAGATTCCTTATTAATCCTCGGGTACCTTTAAAAAAAAAAAGTTTGTTTTCAATATTGACCCTGTAGAGCATTTCAGACCTTTAAATATAATAATGCATTAAAGTTAAATAAAATTTCACTTCAGAGTCTATCAGTAAGTTAATTATAAGTGAATCCATCTAAGAAAATCTCTCAGTATCTGTGTTGTCCAAAATCTGTTTTCTAGATGGTGATAGCTGTTGCAAAAACAAGTCTCTGTGGTCATACAGATGAGAGGACCCATCATATTTTAAAGATATTAATGTTTTATGAGTCTCCAAGAGGAAGGATATATCAAGTAAATTTTCTCAAACTTACTTGGTTGTGGGATTGTTCTTTTCCCTGAAAAACTATCTGAGAAAAACTGCCCATTCTTACAAATGAATATATTCAGGGGTGGATCTCTTTCGTTCCCAGAAAATAAGCACCAGGTTAGTATTCTAAGATGTCTGCTTCCCACCACTAGTGAAAACACAGGTAAAGCTGGTGATGGGACAAGAGGAAAACAGGAGCTAGCAGTGCAACAGACTGAAGACCAGAAAATAAAGGCAAAACATCTGTGGTGTAAAGAAACATGGTTAAAAAGTAACCATGGGAAACAGATCTTAAAAACAACCAAACTAATGGTACAACTTTAGAAATGTCCCTTCTTTTTTATTATTACTTTATTTTATTTTTGAGATAGGGTCTTGCTCTGTTGCCTAGGCTGGAGTGCAGTAGCACAAACATGTCTTACTACAGTTTTGACCTCTTGGGTTCAAGTGATCCTCCCACCTCAGCATCCCAAGTAGCTGGGGCTACAAGTGCATACCACCAATGCTCAGCTAATTAAAAAAAAATTTTTTTTTTGTAGAGACGAGGTCTCATTATGTTGCCCAGGCTGATTCCAAACTCCTGGGCTCAAGCAATCCTCTCTTGGCCTTCCAAAGTGTTGGAATTATAGGCATGAGCCATCACACCCAGCCTAGAAATGTCCCTTCATCAGTCCACATGTACAAGTTCATGTGGACTGATGTCCATCCCTTAAATGGAAGCCTTATTTCTCCAGTTTCCTGGCCTTTAGTCACAATTCATCTGAATTTCCTTTTTACTCACTATTCCTCAAAGATTTTCTCTATAATTTATTAAATTACCCCAAGCCCATTAGGATGTTGAAGAAATTCCTTTCCATAGGAAAGAAGGTTATCAATAATATAGGAATGTAAAAAGATTTTCACAGACCCACTTGGAGACCAAATATACCCTCAGAAAGCAAAGGCTTATTAAGCTATTCCCAAATATTGTGGACATGGAACAGACTCTCAAGCAGATTGAATTTTAAGAACTGGAGTTAGAAAACAAGAATGATTATAACAATCACATTATCAACAAATGCTTAGCTTTTAAGGGCATCAACCACTTGTGACCATCAATATTTAGTGCCTGTACATCTTGAGACTATTCTGTTATAAACAAGATCAGTCCCTTCCCAGGAGGACACCCAGAATCAACTTTTTACTCATTGTACCTGCTTTGATTAAAAGTGTAGATTTTCACACGACAATGATTGTACTTCTGTAGTATTTTTTTGGTATCTTCATCCGTGTTAAAAGAGTTCATTAAGACAAGAGGAACATCTGTATTGTAGGTTTTATTCAAATGCTAGGGAGGAAGATGACAATTAGATTACCTAGACTTACTTTTCTTTTGCTCAAAAATGCAAAATTAATTCTTAATAGTTAAATCACAAATGTCTAAAACATCATCTGTATGTAGCCAAATATACAGATTTGACATAAAACTGCTCAGCATGAGTCAGACATTTTGCTAAGCAATTCACCATGTACTTGCTCATTAAATCACCACCCTCTGAGATAGAAGCTACTGTCTGCATTTTACAGATGACTAAACTAAAACCCAGATAGGTGGTGGGTCTGGCAATGGCAGAGGCAGGACCCCCACCTCCCCACCCCAGGCAGTTTGCTGGAGCTTGTGTATAGCCGCAGTGCTCTGTGGCCTTACTGGGTAGGCAAGTGCTGATTAAGCATTTACTCTACGTTAACATCTCTGTAGGGATGAAAGTACAAATGTGACAAAGACATGGCTCCCTACTCTCAAGATTATTGGTCAAAAGTTCTGAATCACACCCCAGCTGAGATCTTTTCAATCTCAGAAGAGCTAAGAGGCAACAGAAATGTGAAGAAAACAGGGTCTTAGAAGTCAGACTGCCTGTGATAAAATTTTAGTTCTGTACTTACTAACCAGCTTTGGAACCTTGGGCAAGTAACCAACCTCCTTGTGCTTTGGTTTCCTCATTGGTAAAATGGGATAACAGTACTTACCTCACAGAGTTGTTGAGAGGAACAAATGAGTAAATTCACACAAAGAGTTCGGAATAATACTTGGTGGTCAATAAGTGCTGAATAAATAAATGTTAACCACTGCTACAACTAGTGTTAGGATTGTAGCTGCCAGCACCATTCTAGGCAATAGGGATAAGGAGATGGAAAAGATAAGGTCACTGCCGCAGAAGAGCCTGTGGTGTATGAGTAATGACTTTGTCATAAGAAAGAAACCAAAAACAGTTCTTAGCATCCATGGCATGCAGCCAAAAATACACAATATCCTCCCCACCTTCCCAAAATGGGTTAATAAAGCGAGATCATCCCAGCCTTGATGAAGGCTGCCACTAGAAAGAAAGTGGATAGAGGGGCAGGGAGATCAAAAGAGAATCTCAACAGATCCAAAGATTTCAACATTTAAACAACCACAAACGCTAAAAAGCCTGTACATAACCTTAAGGATTTGTCCTTAGGAACACTAAACTTTTTTTTTTTACTTATATGTTAAGTTCTGAGATACACTGTGCAGGTTTGTTACATAGGTAAAAACGTGCCATGGTGGTTTGTTGCACCCATCAACCCATTAGGTATTTCTCCTAATGCTCTCCCTTCCCTAGCCCCCGACTGCCTGACAGGCCCCCAGTGTGTGATGTTCCTCTCCCTGCATCCATGTGTTCCCATTGTTCAAATCCTACTTATGAGTAAGAACATATGGTGTTTGGTTTTCTGTTCCTGTGTTAGTTTGCTGAAAATGATGGTTTCCAGCTTCATCCATGTCCCTGCAAAGGACATGAACTCATCCTTTTTATGGCTGCATAGTATTCCATGGTGTGTATATGCCACATTTTCTTTATCTAGTCTATCACTGATGGGCATTTGGGTTGGAAGAACATCAATCATTTTTTTCCACCAATAAAGAGACTAATAAAGATAGCAAGCTCTTTGGTTAGCTGAAATTCCATCTGCTACCTTTTATAATATGACATTTATAACTTAAAAACTAAAAACTATTTTAGTATCTCATGAGAAAGGCTAAATGTTACTCACTTCAATTTGCTGCACAGTCAGATCCAGAAAGGTATTCTCATTCCTCACACCAATAAGACTTTTAGGGCCTTTGCAGCCCATGCTGGTTCCCAAACCACCATTGAGTTTCACCACCACTAGTTTGTTCAACACAGAAGATATATTATCAGGCAAGCCCCTGGCCTTTATCTTTTCATAGGGTTGAATCTGAAAGAAAAATAACATCATAGGAGTAATTCAAAGAGCTTTATGGGAGGTTAAAGCATATCAATCCCAGGGTTATTTCCATGTTTCCATAAAGTTTTGGTTTCTCTGTGGAAAGTTTTAATCAACTTTTCTTTAATGTCATAGACACTTCTGGTTCAAAATCAAGTACTTAACAGGCAACTTCCCTTGGAAACAGTAGTTCAGTAGATCATTTACAATGGAATACAAGAAGGGGGAAAAAGTTGTAGCCCCCATATACTGGCTGGCTGGTAAGAACATCCAGATATCTTGGAGTATCTTCAAACACTCAGAATTCCTAATATGCATCAACATAGCAAATGAGATACATAAAACTCAAGTCTAAATACTTCTGGTGCACTATCGCTCTACTTCAATTCTGGACAACTATATATAAAATTACGCATTATTCTTTCTACCACAGGCGGCATACCAAAACACACTTGTTCCTTGCCATTCTCCACTATTCAACCATAAGTTTGCCCTTCGGAGGAAAGTAGCATAGACTTTTTGTCAAACTTCTAGGTAGGCACAAAGACGGAATTCCTTCCTCAAGAATTTAACTTTCAGATATCACCATATAAAAGCCAATACTGGAAAATTAAGTGTTGTCACTGTTCTAAAAATACCCTGGAAGGGAGGGAAAGGACAAGAGGTGGGGCTGAAGAAAATCCCAACTTAATCTCCTCCTTAGCATCCTCATCTATTTCTGTGAGCAGAGAGCCTTAATCTGTAATTTCTCCCTTATAGGAAAAAAACACTGACACAACTTACAGCGGGGGCCCAAATTATTTTCTTCAAAGCAGAGGCACAACAAGCAAGTCTAAACAACTTATAGTAAGAAGGAAACCATTCACAAAGTTCACAATGTATTTTCTATCCATTTACATGACATGTTTGCTGTTATTTTCCTTTAGTAGAATAGGTCTTCAAACTGACTCTTCAGTTACATCATGGTATGGGATAGCTAACACATAATGGACTGAAAAAAATAAAATTACCCCATAAGTGCTTTGTGAAGGTTAGCTGTTACTTGCTCTGCTATTGTAGGAGCATGTGTGTGTGTGTGTGTGTGAGAGAGACAGAGAGACAGAGAGAGAGAGAGTAAGCAAAAGATGGGCAGGTATGATTGGGAAAGGACAGGCTCACACTCTAGTGATCTAAGCCTATGGACGCAAAAATTTTTTTATGCTTTGTCAGACAAACATATATACATATGTCAGATGTAGCCTCCTGATGACAAAATTCTTGTTAACAGCTTTCCACATAAAAACTAGTCTGTGGCTCTTATTTATTCTACCCTGCAATATACTATGTGAACTGCCAAGTGCAGATAAATATACTTTTTCGTTTGATGTAAATACAGAGGAACATGAAGCACTCTTCTCCAAGGCTATTTGTTATTGCTCCAATGATCACTAATTCTCAATCATTTCCTCATGTGGTCAGATTGTCACTCTTACTGGTAAGTGCTGCTAAGTAGCCTTCTAAAGCCATTCACATTCATGAACGAAAGTAAGCGCTGGTTACAGAAAAGCTAAGAGGAGGGGACAGGCCTGTGGGCACTCCAGGGGGTGCTACATCAATACTGGGATGTGAAATGACAAAGAAAAGGAGAGAGGCTGTAAAGAATGCAGACCACACTGATCACTCCCCGTGCAGCACATGGTCCAGGTGAGGACAATGCAGGGCTGATAACAACTTGGCCCCCCAACACACACACACACACACACATAAAGCATCCTGCAGAGTTGACAATCCTTGAAGGATGTTTTGATTTCACTCTACTGCCATGACCATCATTTGTTCAGCATTTCAAAGAAACTGGTAATATTGCTTAGGAGAGAAAAAGTTCCAATTTAAGTGCCACACTGTTAGAAAAATAAGAAATGACAGAATAGAAGAACCTTTGTCACCCTGATATAACAGAGTAGCTTACAATCTTTTCTAGCCTAGCAACTGAAAGCAACCAGTCAGTAAACGAAATAGGCTGGATGTGGTAGCACCTCTAATCCCAGCAATCTGGGAGGCCAAGGCAGGTGGATCGCTTGAGCCTAGGGGTTCAAGACCAGTCTGGGCAACATGGTGAAACCCTGTCCCTACAAAAAATACAAAAAATTAGCCAGGTATGGTGGCGCATGCTTGTAGTCCTAGCTACCCAGGAGACTGAGGTGGGAGATACCTGATCCCACGTGGTCAAGGCTAAAGTAAGTTGTAATCATGCCGCTGTACTCCACAGAGTGAGACCCTGTAAAAAGAAGAGAAGAGGAGGGGAGGGTGGGGGAGGGAGGGGAGAAAAGGGGAGGGGAGGGGAGGGGAGAAGAGGAGGAAAGGAAAAGGAAAAGAAAAAAGAAAAGGAAAAGGAAAGGAAAGGCCACTGTGATACAATGGCTGTAAGTAGTCTTTTATTAGTTTAGAAGAATTTCTTGGTCAGACAAACATATATACATATGTCACATGTAGCCTCCTGATGACAAAATCCTTGGAGGCTACATATGGCATATGTAATTTCAGTAGGCTACATGTGACATATGTATATATGTTTGTCTGACCAAGCATAAAAACATTATATTCACTCAAAAGAGTCAGGAAACAGGACCAAACCAATTATTTTCTAATTATTTCATAAAAGCCAAGAATTTCCATTTAGCAGTTATTTTTCACTTGCTAGCAAGAACCTAATATTTACAGAGGTCTCACAAGGATATGAAAATCAGCTGAAAATCACCAAAAATTCCTAGTTTATGCATTCATTTTAGGTAAAATTGTTAGTTCAGCGATAGTCTTACCTATTTATGTTTTGACTATACTTTTAAAAAAAAAAAGAGTACACAGAAGCAATTTTCCTATACATAGTAGGACAGGCCTGTCTTCCAATTTTACTTAAATTTTTTCATTGTGACATCAGGTACATAAAAGTTTATAAAATATACATATGCAGTTGAAAGAATAACATTTTAAAAAAAGGAACACTGCCATGTATCTGTCCCTAATCACACTCCTCTTCTACCTTTAAGGGTAACCATCATCTGGACTTTTATTCTATAGTTTACCACCTATGTGTTTAACAATATTTTACTCCATTTTGTCTCAAAACTTTTAAATAAATTAAATTATACTATAAAGTATGACCCATCTTGTCATTACAATATCAGGAATTCGAACAAGACATGACATTGTTTGTTGTTGATATTTGAACATTCTATTTCAAATAGAGGTAAACATTATCTAGATGTAATTTGGAGTGAAAATTTTCATGTAACATCAATATTTTATCAAAGTATAAATGCTTATTATAAAAGTAAAAATGCTACAGTGATTCTGAAAGCTGTTTATTTTATATATAGCAATTAAGGTTTTCAAATAGTTCAATAAGTTGGAAAACAGAATGACAATAAATATAAAACTCAGTACATTAGATAGAGATCTTTAGGAAAATATTCCCTTTTTGAGGGAACAAATATTTATACAAATTTAAATAATAATGCCAGGCAAAAAAGTCTAAATTAGATTACATCTTAATTCTAATCTTTACAGAAATGTTTGGTATACTAACATTCATAGCATTAAACAAAGTGAGCTTTAGGAACCATGTTTAATTTTTAGCTATTTAATTTGATTTAGGACATGAGTCATCAAGAAAAAGTGCTAACAGGAACTTTTTTTTTGACACAGAGCCTAACTCTGTTGCCCAGGCTGAGTGCTGTGGCATAATCTTGGCTTACTGTACCCACCGCCTCCCGGGTTGAAGCAATTCTCTTGCCTCAGCCTCCTGAGTAGCTGGGACTACAGGCGCACGCTACCACACCCAGTTAATATTTTTTTTGTATTTTTAGTAGAGACAGGGTTTCACCATATTGGTCAGGCTGGTCTTAAATTCTTGACCTCGTGATCCACCCGCCTTGGCCTCCCAAAGTGCTGGGATTATAGGTGTAAGTCACTGCACCTGGCCCTATAGGAATTTTTGTTTACCGCCTGTGAAAATGAATTAAAAATTGAATGTCAACCTTGCTGCCTTAAAATTTCACCAGGAAAAAAAGAAATTCCAAATCATATGTCTTCATGCTAAATCAGCTTTGATCCACACACCATAAATAATAGAAAGTTTTAGCTGGGCACAGAGGCTCACATCTATAATTCCAGCACTTTGGGAGTCTGAAGCAAGACGATTGCTTAAGCTCAGGAGTTTGAGAACAGCTTGGGCAATATACTGAGACCTTGTCTCTATAAAAAATGTTAAAATTACCCAAGCGTGGTGGTGCAGGCCTGTAGTCCCAGGAACTTGGGAAGCTGAGGTGAGAGGACTGCTTGAGCCTGAGAGGCTACACAAATATATGAAAGGCAATAAAAGTGATTTATATAGACTGCCAACCTTTTTAAGTAGAACAAAACAAAGGATACTTAATATATGCCCAAGTTCTGAGTCCTAGGTACAAAGTTCCTTATAGAAACATGTTACTGGAAAGCTTTATTATAAATTTTAGTTACTGAAATTAAATGTGCTGCTTTTCTTTTCTGTATTTAGTCATGGAGACATAGTCAAAGCCTTCCTGAAGTGTGAAAACACAAGACAACGATCAACTCAACAATGCTAAAAACATGGTATCTGATTGAAGAAATATTTACAGAATGAAAAATAGTAAAGATAAAAGTGTTATGGCAATTATCAATGACAAATAGCATGAGAGAATGATTTAGGAATCACCGACATTCAGTGTTTCACTCACACTTTTCACCTACTGGCTATAAGCTGAGAGATGGCGGGCCGCTCTCATCATTCTGCTTCAAAGACAAGCCATCAGAGAACATTTGCTTATACAAGATGTTCACACAAGATGGAATGGCAATTATTACATTTTATATAGGCTGCTTGCACAAAAAGATAGTCCCAAAATTAAAACCAACAAAACCAACATAGCAGGCCTAACTGAGTTCAATTGCCAGAACCTGCTAAGAAGTAACCATGTGTCCTAAGCATGCAA